CGACCTGGACAGGTTCTCATCCACACGTCTGAAGAAGATCAGTAAGGCCGTAGATCTGTTCGTTCTGGATGATCGAGGAATATTGCATAGACTTCTACACTCTGTTCGCGGAAGACCAGGAGACGCCTTGGATAATCTGAGACTGGTAGTCCCGAGTTCACGTCGGGAAGACATGTTGGATCATGTGCATGAAGATTTTCAAGGCGGACATCAAGGGATCACCCGGACTCATGAGAAGCTACGTACCGAATTCTACTGGCCCGGCATGTACGCGGACGTCCAATATTTTGTGAAGGAATGTGTGGACTGCGCCAGTGGAAAAGAAGCTCCCCCGAACGCTGGACCTTCGCCAGGAGATATCGAACCAGTATCCATTCGAGGCAGTTTTTATGGATTTCGTTACTCACATGCCCGAGTCATCCAGAGGGAATGTTTTGCTCATGTTGTTTCAGGACATGATTTCAGGTTATGTGATGTGTAAACCCATGTCGTCTACTACCGCTCAAGATGTCGCTGAGCCTTATGAGGAACAAGTGTTCCAGAGATTCGGGGCGTCTTCCATGATACACCACGATCAGGACCCGCGGATCATGAGTGAATCGTTCCCAAGGTTCCGAGAACTCTTACGTAGCCGACAACGGGCTACACTCGGATACTGTCCACAAGCGAATGGGCAGCAGGAGAGACCTGTACAAACGGTCATTCGGAGTGTTCGAGCATACGTCGCCGAGATGGATCAGTCCGACTGGGATGATCACGCTGATGTTCGCCCTGAATGTCTCGTTCGACGCGACTAGACTGGACACCCCCTTCTATTTGGTTCACGGTTGAGATGCCCGAAGTACGGTTTCAGCAATGTTGGGACCAAAACCTTCAAGCGTTCCTGAACGCAGCGCCTATGAGTGGCGCCGGAAGCTGCAGCGGGAACATAGCTACGCACTTGCTTGCGCTGAGGATCTCCAGAAAAGGCTAAGACGATGCGATCGGGCGAACAAACCCGAAAGTGGTTGAAACACTCTGAGAGGGTCAAGGCCGGTTTTGAGAAGGGCGACCCTGTTTGGTTGAACATCCCAAAAGTCAAGACTAGATTGAGTCGGAAGCTAGCACATATGTGGCATGGGCCATTCAGGATCGACGTAATTCGGGATGATTTTCCCGTGAGACTGAAGGTGAAAGACACAGGTTATCGTGTTAACCCTTGGGTACACATTAGCCGACTTAAGCCGAGAGTAGTTTTCCCAAAGAGACCGACAGTCGAGGTTGACGTCGCAGATGATGATGATTTCGATGCGGCATTATTGCCTGAGGACATTTGGGAGTTGTATAGCTCGAACGATGTGTTTGACGTGGAATCAATTCAGGATGTGCGATGGGTGAAACGCACCCGAACTACGAGACGATCTCGAGAATATCTCGTCAAATGGAAGGGTATGTGGATTCCGGTGACACAGCTCAATTGTGGATAACTGTTGTATGAATTAAACAAAGGGACGCGAGCACGAGCTCGTTTTCAGGCGATGCAGGCCGGGGATAACCACCCGAGAGTGTAGTCAACCCCTATGGCATTACCTGAAAAACGTTAGACCGTGGAACTATGTGAACTGATTATCATTTTGTTTGATTCGTGATGAAGAATTGTGGAGATATTCAGGATGCTGACTGTGGCATTGGGATGGGGGTGCGATGACTAAAAAAGACAGTGAACATGGAAGATGAGAATGACAGTTGTATTCTGGATGTTAACGCTGTTGCTTTGACATATAAGACGCAAGATTGTTCTGGAAGAATCAATTAGTCGAAAACCAGGGTGATGAGGTTCTTCTGTGACTGGTGCTGTGAACCTTTCAGGAGTTTCACTGGATAATCCCCTGGGAGATGCTTGATGCGGTCCTCGTCCGAGGCGCAAGTGTTCCACTGGACACGTGCTGGTTCTTGGTCATCCAATAATTCCATCTGTTCATTCAGGGTGTAACGAGTGCCATCGGTCTTGGGACTCATTCATCAATATCCAGTGACAGCACTTGGTAGGGATAGTCCACGAACCAGGCTCATCCAGAATTGTTTCCTCAAGACCGGCATCGACACGATCATCCAGAAGTTTCTTGTATTCTTTCTTGGCCTTGTCGCACTCGGCCTTGCGTTGGCGGTGAAGTTCCACAGAATAAGGATTATCGGTCTCCAAATCGATGAATACCCAGTGTCCGAATCACCAAATCGCACGGTGATGCACAGACATGAATGCCACTATGGCATCCAGAGACTCGCGAGCAAAGACACTCAGGTCCTTACGCACGTGAAGGATCAGAAACTTGGAACGATCTTCGAACTTGACGTCCCAAGGTTTCGTGTCCATAAGCCCCTTGAATGCGACTGGGTCCCAGCGCTCTCGTAGTGCTTAAACGTCCTCGTCTTTGGCCAAATTCGGAGCGTAGTCCGGGAACTCGAATGACTGCGTTACAGCATTAGCCGTGCCACGAAGAAACTTCGTCAATACGCCATGATGACGCCACGAAAGGATGCCACGACCAGGTACCTTGACGATCCATTTCTCCGAGTCGCTCAGGGAGTCGTAACTCTTGCGTGCCAGAGCCGTTTGCTTTCGCTCCTGTCCTGGACGTAATTTTTTGTCGTTGCCTGACTTGGCGCGTTTCTTGGATGGTGATGACGCACGCTTGGGTTTGTTCTTGGATGAGGAGTCAGAAGTGGTGTCCCGACCGCGTTTAGCTTGTCGCGGAGGAGTTGTGCGACGCTGAGGCTTGTTTTGATTGTCTTCACCTGGAGAGAAGGTTGCATCGCGCCCTTCATCGTCTTCCTCTTCCGTGACACTGTCATAAAGTGCTGCCATAACTTCCACAGCGTCATCCCGAATGTCCTTACGCAAATTAGGCAGCGAGTGGGAACCTCACCCGAGGTAAGAATCTTCGCGAGCTTGGATTCAGCCTCCTTTTTGCACCAACACGGGACGTACTTGACCCAAGGAGTCTTATCGAGACTCTTCCAGTAGATGATGCGCACCAACATGAAGACGAGACGTCGAGCATCCAGGTGAGAGTGAATCTCAGCATCTGCCCGAGCAGCAGCAAGAGCCTCGTCGTAAGACATGTGCGACCGCATGAGTTTCTGGATATCTGTACGAAGCTTATCCCAAATGACAGGTTCAGCCAGGCTCTCGCGTGCCTTGGTGACGGAGAGCTGTTTGGCTGTCGTGGGATCCAGGGTGTCAGTCGCACTCGGGGTGTAAGTGTTGCGCCGAAGCTGGAAATCCGTGAGAGCCTTGGGTTTGGACCCGCTGAACAATTTGCGTTGAATCTTGGCCGGGGTAGACTCAGTGGAGGACGGCTGTGTGAGGTCCACCGTGGAAGCCTTCAGGATGATCGAAGGCTTGGGTGCCTCAGGAACCTTGGATTCCTCATCGTCACTCTCCACTTCGTACTCGTGAACGCCCGGGTCGGTGTCGAATTCGTCAGCCGCGTTGATCTGGATCTGCGGCTTCCAGGCGTCAGGTGGAAATGCCCCATCCTTGAACTTCACTTGTAAAGCCTTCAAGCGCGGTCAGTTGCCGCTAACCTGAGCGTTATGACGATTCAGGAAGTTCATCACACGAACAACCTTGAATGTCCCACCGCGGAGTCGATCTTCGAGTTGTCGGTTGACCAGACGATAATCATCGATCTGGCGTTGTAACTCGGCGTTCTCATCTCGAAGAACTTGTTCTCGGTGGTTGTGCTTTTCTGCGGCAAGCTGCAAATCACGGTGAGTTTCGGAGAGCCGACGCTGAGCCTGCTCCAAAATATCAACCACTTGTTGATTAAAAGCTTTCTCTAGGAGCATGAAGTCTCGACGTGCACAGCGAGCCTCGTCCAAAGAATGACCCAATTCGAGCGTAGTCTTGGAGGTGCCCAGCGTGCAAGATACCAGAGAAACGCGATGTTTGTCTAACATGCGCTTCAGGAGCGTGGACATCCCGAATACTCTGTGAGCCAGACCCTGAGGCTCGTACGCCCGCAAGCGAGCTGCCAACTCGCGTTGTGCTGGAATGCCAGTAATCAAATTCCGGAAGTCACTCGGGTTCAGCTCGACCGACGCATCCCGAGGCATCAACAACTCACGTTGGATATAGTGGTCCTCACTAAGGAACTTCGATAGGTCGGACCTATCCTGGCCGCTCAGGTGCTCAATCTCGACTAGATGATCAAGGCCGCCATAACTGGCGCGCAGGAGCACGGCGCTCAGACGATCGACATCGAAGGCAGGCACACCGACGAATTGCGTGGTGGAGCATGGCGAGTAGCTCGGAGACGAAGCGATTTGAACTGGAGGGACTTGACCAGCTGCCGAGAGAGTTGCAGCGGTAATAGAGCGAGCTTTGGTTTCAGCCTCGTCCAACTCCGTGAGGAATGTGGACGTAGCTAGCAACGTTGACAACAGATTCCGCGCAGCGTTGCGCGCGTTGAAATCGTCGACCGCAGAGATGCTAGGTTGGTCCGAGTTAGCGATGAACCCACGCAGTAGGTCCATCACCTGAAGGCGCTTAGTAGAGGCGCCATTATCTTGAGCCGTCTCACCGAGATTTCCACCGAGATCTTGATCCGTCTCACCGCGTGGACTGACGGGCGTGTCCATCGCTTGCTTGTCAATCGCTGTCGGGTCGTCATTGGATGCGTCATCACTTGGTACACTGATCCGCGAAGGCCGGTGTAATTGCGGTACGTTTCATGGTGGAGCGCTCACCGGCGTGTGCGCCGGCGAAGGCGTCTGCGGGAGTGTTGAGTCTGTGTTTGAAGACATTTTGCCAAATGTCTGGAGTTTCGGTTGCGTTGCTGACAGAGGCTTCCAAAACGAATAAGATACGACAGTAGGAATTTCTTGGATATTGCGGGGACGAAGAAAGGTCTCGAATTTTGGCAGTCTTTTGACAATTCTGCGATTCGGGGTGCTATTACGTCCAAGGCGTCTGCGTTCACGATGTTTGTCCATGGTCTGTCACTTTGGGGGCAATTCTCTCAGTGAAAGACCAAGGTGCAGAGGGGCGGTTGTGATGATGCAACCTAAAATTCAGGTGGCATCCGCAGATGCCCTGGCTTGAGAGCCGGAGCTGGGAATATGGAACTGATACGTGACGACATATTTGGGGTGGTGAACGGAGAATGCTCCGTGAACGTAAATCCCAGTTTCCGGTCACCCGAGCTGAGTGACCGTGCACCGTCGTTCCAGGAAGGCAAAACGTGGAGGAACCCGAAAAGATGACCGATACTTTCGGCTGGACCAGTAGAGATTGAGGGACTTACGTGAGGAGATATGGAGCCCCGGGGTCCCTGGCCGCCGGACATCTTGAATTGCGGGAGTGTGTCCCGAATGGAGACATCACGTACAACCTGAATGGAAAACAGCCCGAATGATACATCGGACGATTCAACTGATGACGTGGTAGCCAAGGTACAAGACGCACTATACGCCAGTGCAGGCAAATATTGAGTTGCACCGACGTCAGACTACCTGAAAACCATACTGAAGAGGAGATGAGACCTGTGCGAAGAGTCGGCGGATGCTGCCAATTCAAGGCGGGCCATGTGTCAGCATGTGATGTGTGAGCCCAAGCTGGTCGATGATGTGACAACCCAAGCATACATAGACCAAGTCATCCAGGCAGTGTGCAGCCACGAGACAACGGAGACCGAAGAATTCGAACCCACAGAAATCAAGATACTGCAAGAATATGAAGAACATGAAAAATAGGCCAAGATGAAGATGATTGATAGTTAAAAGTTTAATGAGAGTTTGATTTGCCACCAAGTGC